ACTTGTATAAATAATTTTTGTTTATGAATTAAACTAATATTACGACTTAATACTCATTACGTTAAGCCGAATTCAGGTCAAATAAATGAACGCGTACAAACGTGAATCAACATTATTCAAAAACATCAATAAATCGTTTATTGAAACGAGTGGTCCATTGATATTCATTGGCGTCTGTTTGTTGTTATTCTAATTTAAGAAGTGAAACTGAACTGAAAATTCATTTCGATGTTTAGGTTCTTCACATATGTGGGCAGATCGATTTAATGCGGCAAAAATTGAGTGAGGTTACTCGGAAAAACATCGAGCGAAAGAACGTCGATCAAGATGTGAACGAGAGCATTGTGAAGGCGCTGATCATTCGACATCAGCAAATTATTATCTTCTCCAAGAACATTGAAAATCTCTACTCGAATATCGCGCTGATACAATTTTTTTCAAACACCCTGGTTATCTGTTGTCTAGGATTTCTTATCGTGATCGTAAGTATATTGAATCAATATAAAATTCGTATGAGACCCAAAATGATTAAAAATTTCAGTCTATCGGTGTCCCGGGCGGATCGATGATGTTAATAAAATCTGTGTTTTTTTACATCGTTATGAGCTTGGAGGCATTTATATATTGTTTCGTTGGAGAACATCTCAGCACGAAAGTCAGTATACATACGATACATACGATTGTAATGTATACGTGTCTGACATGCAATATGCTGCTTTAGAACACAGATTTACCGTACATTTCAGAGCGAAATGATCGGCGACTCGGCATACGAATCTCTTTGGTATGAATCGAGCCCGAGTCAAAACCGAGATATTCACATCATGATCATAAGATCTCAAAAGCACTTAACGCTTACGATAGGAAAAGTTGCGGAACTCTCTTTGAGACAATTTGCCAACGTAAGAATTTCATGAAGTAATTGAAATTAACGATGGAATGTTACATTTGTTTGTGCGAAATATTATTTTGTAATATTTCGGCAATTGTTTGTCGTCAAATTATGTCATGTTGTAATATGACATTCGCGTACGATTGGCAATTATTTCTATTCTATTGTAGATCATAAAAGCTTCGGCATCATACGTGTCAGTGTTGCACGCGATGTATTAAGGTCTGTATTTTGCATGCTGCTTATATCTTCGCGTGCAAGAGAACATTATAATTTTACAGGAGTGACAATTTTCCTATTTAGAGACTCGATAAAGTTTTGCATGGAGTGACGCGAGGAACAAGAAATTATTTACTCATCGATTCGACATAATCTTGTGGTTTACATAAGCACAAAGCTATAAATACCGTACCAGCTATAAATACAACGTTGATTTTCTCAATTGATGTACTTTATCAGATTTGATAAAATTTAATAAAATGAAAGAATTTTTAAAAACCAAAATTTAGTTCAATTATTGGGTATCACTTAAATATTTTATGCAGATTAAGAAATAAAGTCAAATTTGGAAAATATTTTTTTAAGAAATAAATAAAGTGTGAGAAATAAAGTATATAAATATAAAAATATATAAATACATTTTTAGTGTGAAAATATAAGTTGAAATATAAATATTTCATTTCTATCACTTTTTTTTAATATATATTTAACAATATGTATAGAAATTTGCTTAAGAATCTTATGTTATTAATAATTAAAGATGTAATATAAAAATATTATTATATAAAAGCATTGCAATATTATACAATATTCATTCTTATTACAAGAAAATATCACTTGTCAAGTTATCTTTTCTTTCGTCACATGCTCTAGCTCCTATATCGTTGTTCTTAAATTTTTCTCGATATCATAACAATTGTGATCTTCATATTAGCCTTTCTATTGCCATAAACTTCTGTGGTACTTCTTTATCTTTCTCTCTAATAAGCTTTCTTCGACATGTTTTCCCAACAACGATATTTTTCAACCTTGCAGCGAGTTCGTGGAAGTTACATTTTACCCATCTTGCTTATTGCATTTTTAAAGAAACTGTGCGATTGCTACGCCGTAATCAACTCGCTGAACGAAGGGGAAAACCCCATCATTTATTTTCATCAGCCGTCAAGCCATAGTTGCAATTTTAATACGCGCTATAATACAAATATGTAACAAATTAGCCAATGATCTCTCTCTCTCTCTCTCTCTCTTCCTTTCCCTTTCTTTCTGTACAATGAAATAT